TGTCACACCATGAATTTGCCATGTTATTTTATAGTTCAGCGGCCAATGTGTCACAAAATAAACATTATTAATTTTACATCATCTGGTACCATCTTAATGCTGGGCAATCAACAAAAGAAACCATATTTTGTATGCAAATTGATTACGGATATTCAGGATGTCGACAATTTTGTTACATAGTCCATGGGCCAGCACAACAAAATTTCGAATTTCTTACCACTCTTAAGGACAAAGGCTATCATACCTTTTTAGAAACTTTGTTCACTCTGCTTTATCTTTATGTATGAGAGCCACGCTAACGATGTAGCTTTCATTTGAAAATCACATGGTCAAATGACATCACTGATAATGTTTAATGATCACTTTTGTTGACTGGCTTTTGCAATAATAATATAAAATGTTCTACTTTGAAAAAGTGAACTAACTCTGGATTAAATACAATAAATGAGTGCTACAGCATGTTTTGAGGTTGAGATATCTTTGTAAAGGGGTTTCTGTTTGGTTGCTATGGCAACCAGGCCTCATTTCTTAAAAATTTCTCCATATTCTTTTTCTTGATATTTTTTGTTTTCTCTTTGCGACCCTCTAACAAGAATTCCTCACAGTTTAGTTGTATTCCTGCCAAGAACAAACTGACCAGGCTTCTTTAGCATTAAATTTTTAATGTTAAACTTAAAGCACATTTGAGTGAAAAGACACTTCTGTGGAAGTCATATTTCTTTGATTACATTGATACAGATACAAAATAAATATATATAAATCTTTTGTCTTCTAAAATGACGTGGCCCAGGAAGATATCAGCACACCTCTGAACCATGGTGCTGGACAACACACATGATGTCAATATACCTTGTTTTGGCCTGTAATCCACACTTAATAAATTATACACTGAGGAAGGAATGGAACTCTTGAAAGTAAGGGCTAGCACAAACACATCGATATTGTCAGATGAAATCACCACTGTAGTAAATCCATTTCTTCCTGCATGATACACATGAAGCAACAGCCTTGTGTCTACTTCCTCTTGTGTAGATCCTAGCTCTTTGAACAGTTCTGATCTGTCTGATGTTATTTTATAGCGCTCTTCCACTACTGTGGCATACAGCTCCTTCACTGCAAGCTTGACACTATAACGTTCTTTCTGCCATTCGGTAACAATAGAGTGAATAAGTCGCTGTTTGTTCTCTGTGTTGGACAAAAACAGCCTCCACTTCTGTACACGATACTCAGGGTGAATACTCCTGTATGTATTACCCATCTTGGGTCCTCTCTTCTCTCTTTCCAAGTTCTTTATCGATATTTCTCGATAACAATAAAGTGACATAGACTGTATTTTGGACATTAATCTTAATGTATATTTTAGACTTTTATTTTTAAGAGGACCCTCCTGAAAACCACCTCTAGGTGATTGGAGGCCTCCTCTTAAAATATCAATTTATAATATTATTTTTATTATAATAAATAATTATTATTATCGTCGTCGTCGTTGTCATCGTCCTCATCATCATCATCATCATCATCAAATACAACATCGATCCTGGTGCTGCTACTTCCTTCATGAAGGGCCATGGCTAACAGCATCTCTGTAATTTCTTTAAACATTTTTTGATCCCCTTTGAGCCTTTGAACCATTACCATCAATAATGCAAGCCGACCGAAGTACAAGACTTTCAACTGCTGGAGAATTCTTTTGTAACTCTTTGGCTAATGAGGATTTTGCTGTTTTCTTTAGAGAACCATAAGTAGCTGCCAGAGACTAAGGTAGTGGACCAAGAGGATGGGAGAGCACTTCTTTTATGCTGAGTTGTCTTTCCTCTGCAATAACAATCATCTGTGTGAACAGTGCATGGTAGCCCTTAAGAACAATCTCTTTAGCAGTTCCTTTTGGAGCTCCACTTTCTTGTTCATGTGTTTGAAGGTCTTCAGCATTGCTTTGGACATTGAATCATGAAATCTTACTTTTCGGGGATTGGCCTCCAGCCTCTCCTTGCTAAAACTTTGGAATGCTCTTTCACCCAACTGTTTAACTTATAAGAGATCACCAGCACATCCTCAGAAGCCATCTTACCTGTGGACAAACAGATAAGGTCTTGCATGTCACCCTGAAAAGGGTTCATCCAGCCCTCCAGTGTTGTCAGTAAGGACTGTACATCAGCTTCATCTCCTGCAATTCTACTCTTTTGAAGGCCATTGTGATGACAGCTTGATTTGCTCAAGTGAAGCGTGTCTTCAAATTCCTCATAAAAATACTTCTATAGCTTGATTTGCTCAAGAGAAGCATGTCCTTCAAATACCTCATAAAAATACTTCTATATTCAGCAACCAAATAATATTTATTGACTGCTTTGGGCATCAGGCTAAAGCCCTTGGTGCCTACAGGGGTTTGTGTGTCCTTGTTCACACTCTCTTCACACGCTTGGTTCACAGGAATCTTACCAAAGAGATTGTCCTCTCCTAACTGAACAGCAAACCTACTAGACTTCAAATATGTCAAAATGTCTGGATGTTCATCTTCCAGGTGAGACATTTCCAACAGATACGATGGGAGGTTACTCGCATAATTTAGGTTGTCGTATGCAAAGCACCATTGTATGAGGTTTCTGATGGATGAAAGGTGAAGATCCCAGTCACCCTCTCTTGAGACTCTCATCATTGCCAGCAGAATATCGATCAAGTCAAGATAGGAGACCCAGAACTCTGACAGCTTACCATTCTTGCAGCAAAGGAATGACATGTATCTTTCAAACAGCACGGCAACCTCAGCGAAAGAGTTTTCACAAAGTTTCTTTTTGAATTCAGCTTCGCAAACATTGTCACACAAGCTCTGAAGACCAGAAAACATTTCATCTAAAGACGTCTTCTTGTCGTGCTTCTCTGCTACCCAGTTTTGGAATCCAGACCACACCTGTCTCATCAGGGCCTTGTACACAAGCTTGTGCAGCCACACAGCACAGTTGTATTTCTGTTGTACTTCCAGCACAGTACTCCTGACACTGAACCCTCTGCAATCACTTGGGACTCTACACATAGGTTTCTCAAACCAGCATCCTGGAACCTCTTTCCAATTATTCCAAGCAAAGTGCAGATGGTATGACATGCTCCCATTCTGACAATGATATCTCTAAATTGCTCCTTGTGCTTCCATTTGATTTCCATGGCCTTGGCATACATTGCTTTATCAAAAATGACGACTACGGCATTAAGCCTGAGAACGTCCTTGATCTTTAGGGACTGAGATAGCCCTTCAAACACAGTAGATGTGGGTGCATCTATCGTTGGAGGTAACCTATGTTGTCCTGGGAGACTTTCTCTTCATTCTGCACTTTGATGTTTAACAGCAGTCCATCCAGTAACGGTCTGATTCTCTGTGGCATGAAGGCGTACCAGAATTCATAAAAGATTCTTCTTCCGAGCATTTGCCTCGATGTCTGAACAGGTCACCTCCATATATGCTCTCCATGGAGCTCCACAACGTTGTCCTGCATTGTAGATGGGAAGGTCTTTGTCTAACACAACATCTTTACTTCTTTCTTCTACTTCAACAGGATGGGAGTCACATCTACTGGAGGGAAATCAGGGCCAAAATGTCGAGCCTGTATAGTGATTCCGTTAACTCGGAACAAAGTTTGGGAGGCTTCATGTTTCCAGTCAGCAACTTAGAAAGAAATGTCCATAGATTATCAGAGATCTGGATAGCATCTTCAGTTAGGTCTGCTGGCTTTGGAGACCACAACATGGAATCCTTGGTTTCCAGTCAGCAACAAAGAAAGAAATGTCCTTATAATATCAGGTATTTGAATAGCGTCTTCAGTTAGGTCTGCTGGCTTTGGACACCACAACATGGAATCCTTGGTTGACATCATCCTTGGCTCACATTTCTGCTAAAATCTTTTCAAAACATCCTTGAAATTATTGTTTACAGAGAGTCTTTTTTAATATGTTATTAGAAAGAAGATATGCAAGAATAAAAGCCAAGAATTCTGCTAGAAAGCAAAAGGATTAATTTTCATACCTGACATGAAGGCCACCATAATTTATTGGTTACCCATAATGTATAGCAAATCAAGCATACATGTATCATTAAACCATTAGAAAAGGTGTTAAGAAGTCCATTTTTGAACTGAACATTGCAAAAATAATTATTAAAAAATAACATACATGTATTCTGTTTGTTTTTCTTCCTGTCCTAAAACTGGTAAGAAAATTTATTGTGGCCCATGGACTCACAGTCATGGTAATGGACTTTCAGGAAAGTCCTTCGTATTGTTTATTCATTACCCACAGGACAAAGGACTTTTCATACTTGATTGCCACCAATTTTAGCGACCCAGAAACGGGTCACTGCGCTTCGACCAATCAGAGTTGCCATGAATATCCCTTGGGACAGGACTGTCAAAGAAATGTGACTTGCGGTTGACTTCAATATGGGGTCGATTGCAAAAGCGATCAAAGAACCCTAAAAGGCCACAGAAAATTCTATATTGCATGACTTCCAGCACAAGGCAGCAGAAGCGTATCTGTAGGAGATTGTTTAGAACAACAGTGTAAATTGCAGACAAAGTTATCATACCCGCTTGATGTATGACATGGTGTATGAAAGGATACACAGTAACAATGGGTAATGGTGTGAAAAACACTATGAAATGAATAAAACAAGCCTAACTAAACTACAAATTGATTTGTTAACAGAAAGAAACAAACACTCAACTTTCTGAGAATTTAAAGACCTTTATATTAATTTATTACAATGGTTGGTGAGCAACAATGTTATAGTTTAGAGTGCAGTACTGTTCATGTCACAGCTTGGTTGGGCCTGGCCAGCAGATCCAGTCCAGATTGCAAAAACCTGACTGGCAGAGAGCATGCAAATTTTAGTCAATCCATATTTAAGGGTTTTTGATTTCAGACTGTTTAGATACTTGAGAAAAAATAGAACAACTTGTTGTCATTGTTGTTTTAAGTTTTGCAGTTACTACAATTAGTTTCCCACTACCACTAACCTGAAGGGAGTACAATCAAACCTTCCGTGGAAATCTGTAAAACACCATAAACCATTCCATCAGTACTTCCTTCATCAGTAATTATGCAAACCATTCATATTCAGAGAGATGCAAATTAGCCCAATTTTATATTTTTTCCAGTCTATGGAACACAACCACCTTTTGTAGAACAATTGACTACCAAGTCATCGTGAGTAGTGATAAATTAATAAAGATGGTGAATTTTAAGCTCGGTAATGAAATGTGAAGGTGNGCTCTATCCACTGAGCTACGAGAACTCATGGAGAGCGAAGTCATTTAACTGAGTTCATATATGACAGGTGTCCTGCATACTGCTAGGATCAACGCTATCGAAGTCATCGTGAGTAGTGATTTTTTTTTTCTGTGTCCCACGCTCGTATCATGTTGATTAATTCACCTTCACATTTAAAATTCACCATCTTTATCAATTTATCACGCTCGTGTCACGTTGATTAATTCACCTTCACAATTGACTACCAAACCAAAAATAGAAATAGTCGTAAAACAGCAGACTAACAGCAATTTTTAAAAAGGAAACATTTTTCATTTTACAAAACATGTTTCAACATTCCTATGCCATCTTCAGTTGCAAATGTTCAACGGTTGTACATTTGAATTTTCACTGTATCCATGATTACCTTATCTAATTACGCCACAAAATTTACATTAACAATTTGAATATTGGAATACACTGGGGACAAAGTCTGCACGCATGCCAACAGTAGTTGAAACAGAATCAAAAAATTAAATAAAATAAACAAAACATGAAAAAGAATTAAAAAGAAAGAAACAAATCTAAGTGCCTCAGCTGTTGGTTTAGAGTTGGAATTTCCCACTTAATATACAGTGCCTCTTTTATGTAATAGGTCAAAAACGAGTGCGAGTTTTTCATCAGGGGTTCCAAACACAGAGAAACGGATGAACGCACAATGCCGAAGGCACAGTGCCTTTATTGTTTCGAGGTGTTTGGAACCCCTGATGAAAAACAAAGCACAAGTTTTTGAGCTGGCTTCTCAAACTAGTGTGAAAATTTAGTAGAATTATTCCCGAAGAATAGGTAATTAGAAGGCATGCTCAATAGGCTATTGTTTGTTTCTTATTCGTGGTAAATGAAATGAATATTTAATATGCGGCGATGCAGGTGGGTTTTTTGGTAGATTAACATTACGCCGCATGATGGAGGTCGAGTCCGCATCAGAACGATTTCGCGTTCCTAAAACTTCTTCTCAAGAAAATGTTCTGGTGAATGACGCCGTTCCAGCTTCAACTAAGTATAAAAACAAGTGGGCTGTGAGCATTTTTGCCGAATGGCAAAGGTTAAGAGAGGTTAAAGTTCCAGTATTAGATTGTGGTGGTCTCTTCAAGGACTATGCTTTACACAAGGTTACCGCTCTGATCGCAGATATTGCCGGAATGGAAGCTCTGTCACTGAACTTTTGGTTGTCAAAATTCGTGATGGAGGTAGCTAAAAAGTCCGGTGGAAGATACCCTCCCAAGACTGTGTATGGTATCATTTGTGCCCTCAAGCGTTATTTGGAGGAGAAAAATGGATCCGCAGCTTTGAATCCTCTGGACACTGGTGACAAAAGGTAATTGACAACTTTTAGACTGCATTGTTCAGAATTTTAAAATGCACTGTTTTGGGAATTGAATTTGGTGTGTTGTTTTTCGAAGGTTTGTCCTGTTCCGACGTTGCTTAAATGACGAGATGAAGGATGGCGTTCAAGAAGGGCTTCATATAAAGTGCAAGAAGAGGGAGGAAGTGTCTAAGAAAGAATAATATCTTGCTGTATTGTTGTTGTAAGTAATGACTGAAGCGGCAAGTATACTCTATTTAGTATTAACACTCATTAAAATTCAAGTTTCTTGATCAGTGCCTTGATCAGTTCTTGAACTAATCAAATGTGTCTTGATAGGTATGTTCATTGGGTATCAAAATACATGCACCTGACCCAATTGATGCAAGCTGAGTGGGTCATCAGCACATGAATAATTAATGAATTTGAGAACTTAACTTGAAAACTTGAGGCAGCAGAATCTAGAATCGTGAAAGAATCTGCAGAGCATGAGTCATGACAAGTCCCTAATGACTGCCAGTGCTAGTAAACATGTGAAGCCTTGTCTGACACAAGGTACTTGTGGACACCTGTACAAACGTGGCAAGTGGTCTCACCAATGTAGCAGGCATTACAGCCAGCACGTGTGAATTTATAAATGACACGCAAACGGAGACTCTGCGGCACAGAATCTTTCACTTTGAACATGTTTCTAAACTTAAATGTAGAAAAAACTAACGTAATATCTAGATCAGTTTTGCAATAATGTTTAAGCAGCTGTCTTAGTTTAATCTGCGCAGCTTTAGAAAAACGGCCAACATAAGGGAGTTTGCAGAAATGTGTAGAGGTTCCATCAGAGCTGAGCAGGCCAGTCCACACATTTGTAGCATTGGCATTCATTTTCTTAGAAACATAGCTATGAATAATTTTGTCAATAACCCAGATGGGAAAACAGTTTTTCCGTAAAATCATCGTCAGCTTCTTAAGGACTCCATGGAAGCCAAGCCAAGTGTTGTTAATCTTATAGACCCTGTCTACTAATGTCCTAACTAATCCCAATTGGTAAGAAAAAGGGGCAAAACTGATATCATTAGTAAGAAGACCAGCAAAGGTCTTTTTTTCGAAATACAGTAGTAATAAGGGATGAATGACAATATTCAAATTGTTAATGTAAATTTTATGGCATAATTCTATGATGTTATCATGTCACTATACATTGAAAATTCAAATACAGTACAACCGTCGCACATTTGCGACTGGAGATGACATAGCAATGTTGAAACATGTTTTGTTAATTAAAAATGAAAATGGTTTTTCCTTTTTAATAATAGAAATGTAAGATCTTTCGTTGTATTTTATTACTTTTTATTGATTTCAAAGTTAGATACATAGAGGATGTTACATGGTGGCGAGAAGATATGAATTTTAAGTTCGAGTGGCAAGAACATAAAATTCATATCTTCAAGCTAACGTGTAATGTTCTTTTTATTATATATTTTTTTTATTTATTTATTCCTCCAATTCCTAGCTAATACATAGATATGTAAATATAACATAAAGAAAGTAAATATTAACCGATAGTGCTTTGTAAGGAGGAAAAAAAATGCATAAAACAGAAATTACATCACTTAAATTGAATTACATTGTATATTGGAAGGAGAGGAGAGGGGCACATCTAGATAAACTAATTTTGTGCCCCTTAAAGTTATGTATAACTTGAGATTATTAAGAAAAAGAAAAAGAAAAAAGAAGAGGAAAAATGACAAAATAGCTCAGAAAGTTATAAAGAGATAATGTTTTCATTAGTATTGAGCAAGGTACCAGCGTAA